CGAACACAACGATTGCTAATGTCCTGATTCGACGATATGGAAATGATACTCTGCGTGTATACCGTGCCTGTGAAAAATAGGGGTTTTAAAATTAAGAAAGTTAATCTCGGTATTTACTTCCATTTCTACTACTTATTATTATCGTGCTTATTTTCTTATTATTTATTATAGCTTCCTGTTGCCTGTTCTATGTGTGTTGTAAAGTGATAGTTAAAGTCAATTAGCTATGTATTATTTGTCGTTTTATTATCTTTATCTCAGTTATATGTTAATTAGAATTCTTACTTTTTATCGTATGATTTTGTTATTCACGTAATTGGTATTTATTATAACTTTATATTTCCATAAACATTAGTTTTTTTGCTGCACTATCACTACTGTCCTGCTATTCGATGTGATGGTGGGGGCATAATGTTTTAAAATTTCAACGTGTTTTTATTCTTATTATAAAACACGGATCAACTTTCTATAGTTTCGGTTATTAACGGGACTGTGTGAGTCACTTGTGTTTTCCATTAGAGGACATCATTGTAGCATTAATAATGTTATGAATAGAAACAGTTGCCAGTTCCAGTTACAAACATTGTGGTTCGATGACGAGGAACCCACTTTGAGACTAATAATGTTTGGAGACGGCTTGAATGGGTAATGAAGAAAAACCTTAATATAAGTTTAACATAACAGCAAATGTATAACGTTTCGACAAAGTTTTGTCATATTAAAGTTTTTCTTCATTACCCATTCAAGCCGTCTCCAAACATTATTAAACAGTCACATGTGCACCTAGGAGAGAGAACTGTGTAGATATTATAATGTTTTCCTTTGTTTGCCAGGTTTACTGAGATTATATACTTTTGCTATATTGAAATTGCAGTGATATAAATTGTACTTATCATAGCTTTTAGCTTTATCATAAAAACAGGCTAGAGCTACACAGGTGATAGAGCATGAATAAAACTATCACTCGCCAGTCGAACACACAAGCAATTGTTAGTGTTAATTGATTTTGTCTTTCATATTATGATTGTTTACAAACCTGCTTCCAGACTCTTTCTTTTTATACAAAGACTTGTCAGAGGCAGAGAAAATACAGACACTGTTCTATAAGAGTACCTGACCAATCACCTTCTTGCTAGTTATTCTGAGTGAAATTACGGTAATCTGGGAATACCACAAACTATAACATGAGTCACAATATCTATCTCAGATGACAGGTTACTCAACAGTTACACTGTCGGATCCCTTTAGTGGGCTTTCATTGACAACAGTATGTTGTTAGAAATGACCGAGTATAGTTATGTTAGTTACATTAAGAGTATTAGTTAGAATGTTTTTATTACAAAGATTATCTATATGTGTCAGCGTGGTATATGGGACTAGCCTAAAGCTGGTCGAACCTCGTGACGTATTACTGGGAAATCGATAAGAGCGAGGATACTCAAATATCGGAGCAGCATGGCCAGTGACTAGTTAGTTAAATTCATAATCGGAAGATTACGAGTTAGAGGCTCGCTTGTTGTGTCCTTGAACAGTACAATTTATTCCAACTGTTTACGTTTATCCAGCTGTAAGCGGATAGGTGAAGGTTAACGTGCGATGGACAGTGGTACATATGCCAACATTTTCATTGACCAACGTTCAGCACCTGCTTCTATGTTTAATTTAACTTAACCCGGATAATGAAACAATGTATTCTAATTTTTATAAGTAACAGCGGGAAGGAACAGTATAATTAATTAGCTATACCTACTGACACGTTATAATTAATTAGCTATACCTACTGACACGTTGTAATTAATTAGCTATACCTACTGACACGTTGTAATTAATTAGCTATACCTACTGACACGTTGATATTTAGTTATATTTCACGTAGTATGTAGCTTGCTTTGATCAGAAGTTTATATAAAGGAACAGTATAATTAATTAGCTATACCTACTGACACGTTGATATTTAGTTATATTTCACGTAGTAGGTAGCTTGCTTTGATCAGAAGTTTATATAAATTACCAATGTTTTTTATTTTCAGTATTTCGTCTTTGACTTTCATATTGCTCCAGCATTGTTGCTTGACAAAATGGTTACACTCACGGTGAGATTTTTTCTTCGACTTTTCTAAATCAGTATATTTTATTTTAAAGAAAAACTTGTTATTGCTTTATGGATTTTCTTTTTCTTTGAAGGTTTCTGTAAGAATGTATTATCATAGTTATATCTGTTTGATGATTAGTACTTATTCAATATAACATGATTTAATTCGAAAAGTCAAAAACAGAAACTGAGATGTCTTATGTGTTTATGCAAGTCTTTAAGTAAAAAAATAAATTCACGAATTTTTTGAAACCATCTTAGTGTCGCATTAGAAATAAATTGATAGACTAATAAAGTGATTGACGTACAATGCAAACATAAAATAAAGCAATTATACGTTTTCAGTGAAATAAAGTATATAACACATACATATATACATATAAAATACTTAGTAATATTACTCGTTACAAAGCACTGATACTACTCTCTGAATTAGATTTTTTAATCTAGCATACATATTAAAAGTTGCTATTTCTACGATTATCGTGAAAGCCTTCTTTATTTCTAACGAATATATATATATAGTTTAGACAAATGGCCTCGTATGTAATTTTACAATTTTGTATAGGCCTTTGTTTGTTGTTTTAGGATAGATAATTCATATAATGCCTATTATCGTTCATATGACAGGATATGATACGAAGAGTACTAAGATTTCCTATCTTATAAGATCATTATTTGTTCTTATTATTTTTTCGGGTAGAGATTGTTAACGAATAAGACATTTTTTGTATGCCATGTCTTAGAAGTAGACATCAAACTTTGTTGCAGAGTTTATTAGTGATGATCGTTATATTAGTAATTACTTATCATGCTTTCATAATAGTAAAGTATTTTTATCAGGGTAAAATACAGATGCGATTGAAGAACTCGGAATATTTAATGACTTCTTTTTTGTGCTTGTCTTAAGTGACTTTACTTTAGTCATTATTGTTATTTACGAATGTTATTTGTTCGAACAGTGAAATAACAACGCGAAACATTGTATAAATGTTCCATTGTTTTAAATGAGCACCCTGTAAAGTGTTAGCTATAAATAACATGATAATTTGAGCTAATATTCTTAGTGTAAATGTTGAAAGATTCGCAATGTATATCATCACGGTTAAGTAAAAACAATGCTGTTCTAAAATCATAGTTTTAAATCAAGATGATATTGTTTTCTATTGTGATTAATCGGCAATAATTATTCTTTAAGCAGTGTGGATAATTACTAGTCGAATTTGAATATGGAAAATAATAAACTGGTTTTCTTGCCTAGATTGACAGACTTGGAGAAAAGAATGATTTCCATGTGATTTTTGGTATATATTTGAAACATATAACAATTTTATTGTTCTTTCCTTTGCTCTAATATTCACTACGTTGTATCAAAATTAACATGTGTGGCACACAATAGAAACTAATCGATAAAAAAAATAGCTACGGTATTGGAGAGAATGTTCACCACAAATATTTTTCTTCTGCAGGTCCTACATTCACGTAAATTCTTACGCAAGGGTATCATAGTTGGTACATTCAAGTTAGATGTCCGGACTGTATTTTCCCAACCTGGTACTAAACGTTTTCAAACGATAAAATTGTATTGGTTATTTTTTTTCTAAAGCTTTCGAAGATACTGATTTTCATAGTGCAGTCATTCAATCTCTTTGACTTCACGCAAATAATATTAAATACTCCTCATTCTGATAATCTGAAATTATCTTAACCAAATTATGTATATGTATTCGTATGAAATAATTGTTCAGATTTATCACATTCAGTAATTCGTATATGTTTAGTGTTTTACACAGTTGGAACGTGACTTATGATATATTTTTTTCCTGAATTAAATGCAGTGCAATACTTATCGGAAATTAATTGCACTGTTTGATTATTAAAAGTTTGATTGAAATACTGTACCTGTGAGGAAAACAGTACTGGGCCAACTCTTTCTGAAACTGTGCTTGAACCCCACCTGGCGCTCTTTGTGCACTCTATCGTTACCATTATACAGTTTGTTGCTCATTTTTACTAACTTGTTGCTTTAGAGAGATCTTCCTGTGAATATTCACCACTGCTACAACCTTCGGATTCTCATCGTTCTAAAAAGTTAAAATTGAAAAATCTCGAATGAAAACAGAAACGATTGAATATTTCTTTTTATTTTCTTGAAATGAAAAAAATGTTATGTTTTCATCTAAATCTGAACCTTTCTCAGAAGCCGATATAATTTTACTAAAGAGCTAGAAACGCTTACATATTATTATTTAGTAATTATATAATATTTTTGGGTTTTTCGGAAAACAGTTCAGTAGAATTGAGTAATTTTGATTTTTAATAATAACAGTTATTATATACTGTTCTTTAAAAATTATAGCGGCCATGGTTTTTACTCGAAGGTCTCTATAAAAAATGTTTTCGGACAGAAACACGATGCGTTGTCGAAAACCAAGTCAAATCTTAGAACAGCTAACTAAAAGAAAAACAATTAATAAAATAGAGTAAATAAATACTTAACCTATTTTAGTACCTACTTACTATTGAGTGACTAAAGTAACAAAAACATGCGTCTGTAAGAGGTTCTGCGCATGCTCATTATTGCTTAAAATCATCAATACATGGACTGATAAATAACCATCATTTTATTTCTATTTTATTTTTCATGTATTCGAAAACAGCTTGAAAATAAAAAGGAATGTGAATTGAAATAGTTTTATTCTCTCCGAAAACATCATACATCATTTTCTGAGAAACCTTAGAGCAAACAATTATTTTTCTGCAGCTTTTTGATTTTAATGCATGCGCCAGTCTTTCTGATAAAATGTCTCTATCTCCAGCAACATTTTCTCTGCTTCCTTATTATTCTAGGCTCTTCATTCGAGAAATATTATAAGATCAGGCAAAATGATAGGCTGTTTCAAGCTGGATGTTGGGACAGTGTTTTCTCAACCAGGTAGATATTCTACTTGGATGTTGTCTATCGTATCCGTTAGGTGTCACTAGTTTGCACGAATAGAGTGAAATAATGAAATCGTAATTAGCTATTTTTGTATAATATTAACTAATTATTTCGTTATGATCTGGTTTTCTCAGCCATAAAGAAATCAAAAGTATTAGTTAAATGTGAGTTACGTTAATATATTATGTTAGTTTCATATAATTACAATGCCAGAAAAATAAAGGTTACCTCTACTAACACTAGTTATTTTTTTATGACATACAAAATTTTCCCTTCAGTCTTTCCATTATTACTATTTGTATATACTTATTTTAATTTTAAAGATCACCAGTTTTACCATAAGTGGGCATTGATGACTGACCCAGATGATGTTTCAGCTGGCCCTAAAGGTTATTTGAAATGTGATATTTCGGTTGTTGGAAAAGGAGATACGGTGAAGGTAATTCCTACCTTGGGAAGAAATAATTTTAATTCTAATCAATTATAATAGAGTAGAGTGATTAATCCAGATATTCTTGTCTTCGATTAAGAATATAATAACTTTTAGTTGTAATATATGCGTGATATTAAACACAATGATAATGATAATACTAGTAATTTAAATCTCACTATTCTTCTTCATTGTTCCAAAACTTGTTTCCAGTAGCATAGAAGGTGTAATAATATTTTAACTATTTTTTTTATTAAAACATGTAAAGGGCCAATACAGAACGTTTGATTTGAATTATCAATAATATTGTGATGTAATATTACACAAGTATTACTATTAAATAATGTTATATAAATGTCATATCTTAGCGAAAGAGGAAACAATTAACTTCAAATTAAAAACTGTTGTAGGTGCAGTTACTTAATAGATCTAATTTAGATGCTAAAATAATACGTGTCTATATGGAATTAAAATATCAATACCTAGGTTTAGAAATGTGTAGAAACACTACAATGGGAAGTTTTCATCAATTTTTTTCTGCTCTGATATGGAAATTTTATGTAGATATATGTAAATATTTAAGTGATACATATATTTCAAGTGAAATATATTAATGCTTATTTTAATAAAAAATAAATAAATCTTTATACGCAGCCACCTCCAAAATCTGAAAAAGATGAAGATGATATTGAAGCGTAAGTTTACTGGTTATACTTGAAATTTGCTATCTTATGCTCATCTGATTGCTTATATAATAACAGATTGTTTTTAAGTTATTGGTTGTGAGTTATATTAGGTGATGCGACGAGCTACGTGCACACATGGAGTTGTTTCGAACTGTTACAGCAGATTTTATTTAAGACGGTTTTACACAGTTGACAAGATAGTTAAAAAATAAAAGAGGTGAGGTTATTTATCTTTTGCGACTCTTTAATAAAACACTTGTTTTGACCTGTCTACAACTAGTTACTCCAACTCTCACTCATCACAATGGCTCTCAAGGCGTTCTATATTTATTAATCAAATCAAGTCTTTTGTTTTTATTTTTACTGTTCATCAAAATATTGATAAAGACCATAACCCCTTATTATATGACTTAAAAATAAACTCTAGTTACACAAACTGGATTTGTACCTTATATTTTGCCAAAACCAATTAGTTTTTATTTCAAAACAAACGTTATTTTATTCTTCCTTACTACCGCTAAGTCTCCAGTCGATATTGATGACGATGATGCTACATAAAAAGAAATATATAGTTAACCGCATAGGCGACAAAGATATCAAAATTAAAGAATAGGTTAACCACTCGCCAAGTTTTTAATATTTTCTATTTGAAGAGAATGACGTTTCAAGCTAGCGCTGTTCGCCAAATCGTACAGCTTGCAACAAAAGGCATATGCGCAAAATTTAAAAATTGCGTGCATAGAATTTTTAACATTGAGCGTGAAATGTCTCTGCAAATTTACATCTTATACATAAATATTACAAGTCTCTTTGATTGAAATTAAAATTGACACAAAATATTGAAATTATGAGAATCTATAGGAAAGAAAAAAATAATCTAAACCAGATGGTTGTAGGGTTCCCAGATTGTAGAATAATCTCCTTTCCAGTCGTTCTCTTTTGTGAATGTTTGTTGAAGCACTAATATGTCCCAGAATCGAAAACTTCTCAGCTGTATGGTTGTTGATGGTGAAATGTTTGCCTATAGGTGTATCTTGGTTCTCCACATTAATATGGTTTAGATGTTCTAGTGATCGATCGAGGAGTTGGTGTCCTGTTTATCCAACGTATAAACTCAGGCTATGAGGAGGAGAGGGGTAGAGACGTCATGGTTCCACAAAGTGGAACCAGAGGGCGAGTTGCTAGGGGGCGCATCGCTAGGCCGCCATGACAAGCGTCATTCATGACGAGATCATCATACATGCCTTAACATGTAATCAATGCAGTCAATTTATGTATAAAATGCTAATTCATTAGTTCTATATTTAATTTTACTTTTTACATTTCTTGGCCTTTTATATGTACATCATTTATCATCAGAAATAATTTGATATAAAAACTCACTGTTTCACAAGTTTGTCTTTATACTATCCTTATAACTAGTTACAAATAGTAGTGTTTGTATAAACGAAGGATGATGAGCTCATTGTCTCAACGTGTTAACAGTTACTAGATGTATTTACATGTAAAACTATTACTTATCTAACGTAATATAACGTTCTCGATGCAATATTTCTTTTTAACAATTCTTGCTTTCATTTCTACAAACCAGAAATTCTATTTCCGTGTTTTTCCTTTCAAATTATTAGTTTCCAAATGAACATAAGGACCTTTAATCATAAATCAAGTGATTATTACAAAGATTTTCGGTAACATTAATTATCTTTTCACTTAAAAATTATACAATCCATACACACAAAACTTCAGGTACTATAAGAATCAGAGTTTATAATTTATTGGATTATCTTTCATGCAAATTATGTTCATTCCAACTCAGCATGTAAGATTTTATATAGTTTTAAAATGATAGTGAACAATTCTTGTACTTTAAAACAAAAAACATGTTATATACACCAGTCAGTATCATTAAACATTGTTAGGAATTACAAAGGTCGTCGCGTGGTCAGCCTCCTCTTAACGCGTGTGCACACTTTCGCAGACACATGAACTTAGTTTATAAGGCAAAACAACCACACTTTACAACAATAAGCTTAGAATAATTTTTCAACATGTTGAATGTGTGACATTTAATTATAAAACGAATGGTAACAGTCTAGTCTATAACATACAATCTAGTATAATTTGAATTTTCTCATGTCATATTTTCAAAAGTAAAATATATTTTGACACAGTGTCACAGTAACACCAAGAAATCAGTGAATTTAACTTGTATGACACGTTTTCTGCTGTTTCTAGATCTGGTTGGCGTTACTTTTACATTTAACGTACTACTGAAAAGGTTTTGTCACACCTAATGTTTTTATAAATATTGAACAATTTAACATACAGTTTATAATTTTGGTTCTATACCTTTATACATTTTATCTCCTGAGAAGGATGCATTTTAACATACATACTTACTATACACATGTAATGCATGTTTTACTATCTTTAATTTTAACATATGGTTAACAAACTTTGAAGTAATTCATTTTGTTACATAATAAGTATGTTTAATCACTTTATAGAATAGTAACACTTACCTTTTTTCATAAGTCTTTAAGGACAAATATAACTGAACTTTCTTCTACATTAGAGATATAATATACATCTTAAAGATATTCAAAACCATCTTGTCAAGTAGGAAATACAAAGTTGAATGTATGTATGTGTGTTCTTTCTAAATGACCTCATTAACATTGAAAGCAAACTATCACAAAATGACACTTCATCCTTATTGACTCTAAGCTAATGGTATGTTGATCTTTTACTAAGAAGAGAGGGGGCTGATAGAATTCAAGATCCAGATTGATCATCAACATTGTTGATATTGAGTCTGAAGACCTACGTGTTTGATATTCCAAACCACTGACCAGTTCGATAAAGTTTAGTTTTAGAAAATATACAGGGCAGGATGTCAAGTTGATTAAAGCTGTTGACCTTTAATGTTAGCTAAAAAAAGATAATGCATTTGTTTGAAAGTAGAACACTTTATCTGACTCACGATTTTACTAAAAGAAGAGATTGCTCAATAAAAGTTGAACAAGTCAATTATAATACATTGTCGCTATTTACGTATTTACATTATACTTAGTTTTGAAAATAAACAGTTCAAACTCTACATAAACACATATTTTATACCTAAATTTAATGATCACCGTACTTTAAATAGACCTTTAGTATGTTACTGAATGTAAAAGTCAGTAGTTAATACAATAAATGGACTACATTATTATCTAATCATTGATTACGTGTTGAGACATGCATGATGGTCTCATCATGAATGACACCTTTCATGGCGACGTAGTAACTCGTCCTCTGATCGTGCAACAACCCACTTATCTACTCATATCATCTTCTTAATATAATTTTGATGAATATTTTACATTCTATTTTTTTTTCTTCCAGATATACTTTGTTTCCTGATTTTTGACGCAAGTTGATATCCCATGAAGCTTTTATTTCTAATGTCTTATCTTTTGTCACTCTGTTGATATATATATTGAGTTATAATATAAAGTTTTTATCGTTTTAAAAATTTCCCAGTCATATTTGTGTTCATATTTATGCTAACTGTTTGGAAAGAATTTCCAGGTATTTGTCCCAAACTTAGCCGTTTGTTACTCATCAGCCTACAAAATCTTACAGAAACATGCTACTACCAGATGGCGTACCTTCCGAAAGACAGCATGCCAGATTTACAGTGAAAATATACAGAGCAGATGGATTGCCTCGGATGAATGCGAGCATTATGGCAAATGTGAAAAAAGCATTCGTTGGAAGTTCGAAGGATTTCATTGATCCTTATGTGCAAGTGTCCTTCGCAGGTCTGACGGTTAGTATATAGCATTGTATATTGTGCAATTTCAACTTAATATGTTTATATATTTTGAAGCATGTCCACCTGCATTATGATAGGTTATGCAAGAGCTTATCTTTGCCTGTATTCTTGGGTGTTAGCAACAGATCGCTTTTTATCCGTAGCGTATCGTTTCGCCAATCAACTTGGCCCTTTATTTCAATCGAATATTTACATTGGAGTTACTTGTTTCTCTTTCCTCACAGTGAAATATGATTTTAACTATTCTCCTTCAAATGTTCATGTATTTTCTCTAACAGGGTAAAACAACAGTGCGGAAAGGCTCGTGTTCTCCAGTTTGGAATGAACAGATTGTTTTCACTGAAATGTTTCCTCCCCTTTGTCAACGAATGAAGATTCAGGTCCGAGACAGTGATACAGTGAATGACACTGTTTTGGGGACCCAGTATATTGAGCTGTCAAAAATTTCTAATGAAGGGGAAAGCGGTGAGTGTATATGTAACGAAATGCATGAATAATAAGCGAGAATGTTTTCAAGTATATTTCTATTAAATGTACGACTGGCTATCATATTAATTCAATAGAAGAAGTGGTATTCTTTATTTTCCAGCTAAGCGGCGCCCTATGCAATATGAACTAAACAGTTCCAAGATTCAGGTTTAGCCATTCCTAATTTAGAACCGTTCGCCAAATAGAGATCAACCAGTCAGCAGCCTACACTGTTAGTTTTAATCGAATAGTGGGATTGACTGTTACAGTCTTAACGCATGCACAAGTTGAAAATGCAGAGCATGTTTAGTGGCATACCACAGCTCGATCTTGGGAACTTCTGAAATAATATTGATTATTTTCTAACATTGTATGTCTGAGGGTATAACATGATTAATTAAACTGTAAATATATATATACGTATGTATAAGTTTCAATATCACAGTTAATTAAAATGATATCCAATTATTGACTATAGCCTGCATGGTAGCCATATAGGCCACGCTCGGCCTGGCGAATGAGTTATTCAACAAATAACTACTTCTGAGGAAAGATTTTAAATAACTACTTCTAAGGAAAGGTTTTAAATAACTACTTTTAACGAAAGGTTTTAAATAACTACTTCTAAGGAAAGGTTTTAAATAACTACTTCCAAGGAAAGGTTTTAAATAACTACTTCCAAGGAAATATTTTAAATAACTACTTCCAAGGAAAGGTTTTAAATAACTACTTCCAAAGAAATATTTTAAATAACTACTTCTAACGAAAGGTTTTAAATAACTACTTCTAACGAAAGGTTTTAAATAACTACTTCCAAGGAAAGGTTTTAAATAACTACTTCCAAGGAAAGGTTTTAAATAACTACTCCCAAGGAAAGATTTTTGTTTTTTGTTTTAGGTCTTCTGCTCATTTTCACTTTTCAGTTTTCTTCCTGTCATTATTTTCTGCGTAATTACACCAAATACGTTTATTAAGAAGTCATTGCGATGAAATGTTTGTTTAGAAATTTAAAATCTAATTTGCCAAATGATAGTAAACAAATTTTCTACTACTTACAATTTTTACTTAGCTTTTCCTTTGTATTCGAGCATTTATTTCATAGATATGTTTTACGAAACTGTGTTGATATTGTTTCTCAGGAACTCTGCAAATCAAACAATAGGAAATGTTAATTATTTTTGCAACCCTTTCAGTTTATTTCCATTTAAGCAAGCACAAGTTTGTATAAATTAGACTTTTCCTCAGGTTTTCTTCCTACTTTCGGACCTTCTTTTGTCTATCTCTACGGGTCAACTAGAGAATACTCCTTATTCGACGAACATACAGCTCTAAATGACGGACTTGGTGAAGGTGTCATGTTTCGTGGTTGTCTCTTAATAGCTCTTCGGACCGAAATTTTAGACACTATGGACACAACTGTTTCTGATGTCTATTTGGAGCAAACTTTACCAATAAGTGAGGTGAGATTTAGTGACCGAGAAATACTTTGTTTTTCTTCTGTATATTCTGGGTATTTATTATTAACGATACAAGAGGTTTTTGAAAATTAAAATGAGTTATTTATTTCAGTTGAAAAAAAAATTAAATAATTTATGACCTGCTAATATCTTCAGTCTTTATAAGTAAATCACGTGATTGGTTTTTAAACTATTTATATTGCTACTATTAATTTCAATAATTTTCCAAACATTTGACACTCCACTATTTACAAACATCTCTCAATCTGGAATTTATTCTCATTGCTAAGGATGTGCCCTCTTCGTTTAATCTACTTGTGTTCTGTTTTATCAGTATAAGTTAATAACTTGCATATTACAATTAGCAACTAAAAAACTCACACTGCACTGTAACTCCAGCGTTCCAGCATGAAAAATGGAAAAGTGAGTGTACGCTTGGGTATAAGTTTGTTTGTAACTAAGCACAAAGCTACACTATGAGCTATCTGTGCTCTGCCCACCACAGGTATCGAAACACGGTTTCTAGCGTTATAAGTCCGAAGACATACCGCTGACTCACTGGAGAGCAGGGTATAAGTTAAGGAAATGTCTGTCGTGGAGTTCCCACTTAAAAATTGGAAAGTTTAATTTGTGCAACCATATGTGGTAGAACAACTTGAGATAAACAGTAGTGAATTAGAGTACTGGCGAACTTCTGTATGGATGTGTCTTAAAAACGTTCAACCGTATTCAAATGTAGAAAGCTGGCTTAATTCAAGTTAGTCCAATTTTACAGGATCAACATATGTAATGAATTCTCTAGTAGTTTCAAAACTTACCAATAATTGAAACTATCTAATTTCTTATTTATAGAGCGCCTATGGAAGGAATGACGAATTCTTTTTGTATGGATGTGTGCTGGAAGCATCTATGATAGAAAGAAAAATTGGAGAGAAACCCATTTACTTCGAAATATCAATAGGTAAGGCCGCCATTTTGTTTTTCTCTATACAGATTCTACAAGGATTTATATGTAAAAAAAATGTACTTGATTTCAACTTTAGTAAATAATATTGTAAAATTAAATATTGGTCAAATTTCAGGAAATGCAGGCAATGCACTCGAGGGCCAAAGATGGGGCTCTCAGAGCCATGATACTGACAGTGAATCAGACTCAGATTCAGGTCCTGAATCCGTTCAGAGTGATCTTGCTTGTCAGTCCACCACATCTCCAGTACGACCACTTTCTGGTGATAGGTAAGGTGGTTTACATTTATTTAATAGTGTTTTCGAGTTGTTATGCGTAACGCATTTTAGGTTTTAAACACTAGATTCGGAAGAAATCCGCCTTTTATGTTCACGCGGAAGCTCTGTGAACATAACATGTGCTCCTGTGCAGTGGTTGGTTAGGTTGTACCAAACACATTTTGAGACTATTTCCGTTTACAGAAGGGTTAAGATACATTGATTCACATTAGGATTACACTAGTAATAAGGGAAGGTAAAAGTAAATTTTGGATGACCTGGGACTGAGATTTGCCAGAGAAACATTGTTGAAGTTCAACAGGGTTTCATGGGAACAACAGAACAAACTTTTTGATGTGAAATAATGCGAAAGCATAGAATTTCGCAGAGGAATGTTATAAAGTAAATACATTGTAGGTTCATTGATATAATTCCTATAAGTTTTAGCTGAGAGCATTTACCATTAGTTCTTCCCGGCAATCTGTAATATTTTAATCAGTTCAATATGTTTTATATGAAAAACGCTTATTACTAGTTTCCTTGGCAACCTAAAGTAAAGCTACCTACGTAACATAAAATAAACGACCTATTCCCACTTTATTAAAACATACATTTTCAGAATAAACACGTCTTTAGGTTAGTGCTGTTAACGATAAACATTACGCACATCGCAATAATATTTAGTATGGAGTTACACACCTATGATAATAAGTGTTTTTTAACAAGTTGTGAATAGCAGTTTGTTCTCTAAACGCTTGTATTATCTGCTTTAACAGATGAATAATCTATTTAGTGCTTTAATTTAAATGATTGGACCATTTAGAACAAATTTACGTGGCTGCATTGTATCATCTATTTGTTTGAAAATAGGGATTATCAAGCGTATTTAAGTAACAGGATAATCTAGTGTATTTAATTGGGTAACAGGATAATCTAGTGTATTTAATTAGGTAACAGGATAATCTAGTGTATTTAATTAGGTAAATGGATAATCTAGTGTATTTATTAGGTAAATGGATAATCTAGTGTATTTAATTAGGTAACAGGATAACCTAGTGTATTTAATTAGGTAACAGGATAATCTAGTGTATTTAATTAGGTAACATGATAATCTAGTGTATTTAATTAGGTAAATGGATAATCTAGTGTATTTAATTAGGTAAATGGATAATCCAATGCTGTTGTTTTTTATCTGGGCTACTTACATGAATGGAATATACTGTGACTTTAATTCTTGTGATAGCTTGATCTTTCGTTGTTTGTGAGTGTGGTTGAAATGATACAGAAAAGGTAGAACAGTTCGGCTTAACATGATGGATTAATTCCATAACGGTTAACTTAATATATATTCCTGTACGGTAACATTTTAAGAGATTAACAAACAACAAGACCTGAAAACCCAACCTTGTTACACACTATATCCAGTAGATCTACTTTCGTACTAATCTTCCTTTCTCTAACTATCATCTCTGTACAGAATACTTAAAAACGTAGATGTAACACACTTAATGAAAACTCAATACCTTGAGATCCTGGTGGAGAGCGAATATGTGTCGTCGAGTTCTTGTCGAACTGAACTACGAACTGTTGGGTTTCTTTTTGTAGGCAGTACTATTATTTACCTTACGGAGACGACAAGCCTTGCATGTGGGTCCGGAGTGTGTGGCAGGACCACCGGCGAAGACTTTATAACTCAAATATCATCTCTAAAATAGCAGAGAAGTTGGTAAGTATCAACATTTAGTAACAAAAGTGTACATCGATAAAAAACGCGATGAATGTTAACATAGATTCTTATTGACCGAATTTATATATACTTTAGCTAGTTGTATTGTCATGTTAATTATCAGAGAGTAGCCTTAAATTGAGATATCAAGACAACGAAATTAAGAATTTTCTGTATGCTTCGCCTAGGCCTTGTTTAGTTAGTAGCAATTCATTTGTATGTCGTTAACAGTGTTAAGAGCAATAATATTGATATAAACTGTTAAGTCGTTATTTCATCAAATGCGTACAAATATTTATGTGAAAAATATATTTTTGTTTTTAATATCATAGACAAAAAATTATTCTTTGTTGCTATTTACCGTAATGATAAATCCAAAGAAATTACAGTGTATTTTTAGGAAACCAAACTTTCTAATTATAAATATTTTATGATATAATTTTTTAGAAGAAAATTATTTGTTGTAGGAAAGTGGACTTATTGATGTGCAAGAAATGGTACGTCTTGAGCGCCCCCATGCGGACCGTCGTCTACGAGGTGTTTTAGAAGAGCTTGCCAGCGGTTGTAGGTAGGTTTAACTTGATATGTAATATATTTCAACTTAAATAAAATGCCATAAAAATGTATTTAAATATTCTTTGGTCAACCAGTTAATTCCTATGTGTTAAGAATAAGCTGTTGTAACATTGTTCCGTCATAACAAACAAAACATAAACATGAACTGACAACATACTTTTATAATTAATAATATGAAGTAAAACCACAAACAGAATTGTTAAAGTCCAACGCTTGGTTTGTTTGTTACACTTTAGTATATACATGTACTTATACTTTTTTCTCAGCGTTATAAAAAACGCTTTGAGACTTTTAAAGTTGACTTTGTCAATGAGTCATTTCCTCTTGTCTAAACCGGAAAATCGGTTATTATTCGGGTCACTGTAAAATGTCATCATTCCTGAAATTTAGACTAACAACTGTCGAGCTGTTGATTGTTCTAGTTGTAGATTTACGGGTAATGTTTCAAAACTTCAATCCTTCAAATTTCCGGGAGATCCAGAAAGGCAACTATCTTGGACAAATGCAGTAAAAAGAGATAATGTCGCTCCAACTAAATGGACAATTATTTGCAGCAAACACTTCGTATTAGGTACACATATTATCCTAGGCCTAATGTGCATCTTGTCACATCCATTTTAAAACTTAACTTATGAAAAGTCAAAGCTGTAAATAGTTTGCACAAAAAACGTTGGATGGAAATAAACTTATTTTCACGCTATAAAATAACAAAAACTTGTAAATATGTCGCTAGATGTGCGATATCGGGTACTGAACTTGAGTGTAAAAAGACAGAGCGTGGCTTTATATTAAACACCAGGATAAACTGATTTTCACGCTATAAAATAACAAAAACTTGTAAATATGTCGCTAGATGTGCGATATCGGGTACTGAACTTGAGTGTAAAAAGACAGAGCGTGGTTTTATATTAAACACCAGGATAAACTGATTTTCCTTTATTATACGGTGTTTATATTGCGTCCAGAACTAGAATGTCCATGTGGAATATCCGGAAGTTAAAAATAACTAAATCTGCAAATGTTCAAGCAACACAGTATTGTGCTATTATAGTTAACAGTACTTGTTCACACTATTTTAGAAATTCAATAATGTTTGATAGATGTTTAGTACATAGTGTGCCATTGAAAATAAACTAACTGTTTCCACTGGCTTCGGAGTAAACGCCTAGACTTTCAATACGATATGTGTAAATGTTAGGCCACTTACACAAATCTTCTTGTCACCCATAAACACTATACAAGTCAGGTAATATCGATGATGAGCTTTTAAAACACCATTAACTTTTCCTAATAACTACTGCATCCAGATTACCAAGTTGTTCAGGTATAGTTCTTCATACTGTTAAGGTTGAAACTTATGCAGGTATACTGTGTAACGAAACGCTGGAACTCTCGATGACCGACCGTTTTTCACACATGCGTACATAAATTGTCTCCTTTGCTTACAAACCGGGATTTCTTCTGTACCCTGAAGTGTAGTAAAAACGTAGAAGTTTCAGAACTTTAAATGAAACAAAACTATAAAATCTTCGACATTTTGGTACCAATACTGGCTTTTCGGTGTATCCTAAACACTTGGCAGTATGATTATTTGATGGCTCTTTAGTTTATATTATGTGTACCAGTATAAATACTGGCTTTTCGGTGTATCCTAAACACTTGGCAGTATGATTATTTGATGGCTCTTTAGTTTATATTATGTGAACCAGTATAAATACTGACGTTTCGAGACTTTATAAAAAATGAAATTATCAAAAGCATAAATTTTTCGTCGCTCATTTGTTTGTTTGCTTTGTTGCTAAACGCAAAGCTGCACTGGAGCTTTTCACACTTATCGATGAGTCACCGGGGCTTCGGCCCTCATATTACGCAAAGTTACATAAATACAAGTATTAATGTTTCATCATATATGAAATATTATAAATATCAATTTTTTCGGTGATTTATATTGCAAAGGAACATTGAATTAATACTTCCTTAAACCACAAAGAAATTATTAAAAATTATTTATTGCAGAATTTTCTCACAAAGCTATACTAAGGGCTATTTGCACTTAGCCATCCCTAGTTTTAACTGACAGACTGCATGAAAGGCAGCTAGTAGCACCCACAACTAAATCTTAAATTACTCTCGTGTGATTCAATAATGGAAACTCAACGTCACTGTTATAGCGCACCCACGGCACTTTGTTACATCGGACAATATTCGCACTTCGTTTCCCGTTCTCATAGCCATCAGCTTTATTTATGTTAAACCAATTTCTATGAGGAATTGACCCAAGCCAGTGTAAACACGAAAATTTCCCGTTTAATACTACTAATCAATAATAGGTTTAGAAATAAGATTTTAGTTTCTTACTGCAGCTCTCGGTTTATCGATTTGCCTCTAATCTCTGGCTTGATCTTCTCTTCTTTCTCCTCCTCTTTCTCCTCCTTTCTCAAACAGATGTCGAAATGGTTCCTTTGTTTCAGACATTGTACCTTTCCCGTGTATCTGATCATAACGTACCATAACCATAGGTGGTCTTGTAGTGTCCATGCAGACTAAACTTAGAAAGGCTAAAGACTAAACTAAACCGATAACTCCAGTCTCTAAATTCTTAGATTGATCAAAAGCCGACTGCTTTCTCAAGTTCATGTGATGTTACCTTACACATCTTCCTTTTCCTGAATACTTTCAACAATATTGATGATGTATTCAATCTCGGTTCTATTTCTTTCTCATCTTGATTTAACTCCAGACTCAACTATTTTAGAGTATTATCACACTCCTTTTAAGGTTGTTTCACCAATCACAGTATTTTGTAGAACACTTTGATAGTTACACATAGCATACTACTAGTTTATAGTCTTTTGTAGAATACTTTGATAATTATACATTACTTATTACTAGTTCATAGTCTTTTGTAGAATAATTTGATAATTATACATTACTTATTACTAGTTCATAGTCTTTTGTAGAATACTTTGATAATTATACATTACTTATTACTAGTTCATAGTCTTTTGTAGAATACTTTGATAATTATACATTACTTATTACTAGTTC